AAAATAATGTCTTGTATTTTAAATCTTTACTATGAATATGTACTCGCATCATATATGTGTGTGTGTGTGTGTGTGTGTGTGTGTGTGCACGCGCGCGCGCGCGTGCATGTGTCACTCTCAAGATACCTTGAGAAATTCTATTTTCTCAAATAATGGACAAGATACTCTAGTTGTCTTAATATAATTATTATCCTTCCATGTGATCCATATTGGGTTATTAGATCCACCTGTGATCTGCAAGATTGGTCCATGGCCTACAGTTATAGTGCCACAATAAAACATGCCAAAAATATACATTAACGCTGTGCCATCTTTTTGACCAACCTATAAAAAAATACATATAGCTATCAATCATAAAGTTACAAATGCTGTCTATTAGGATTGTGCTTTATGATATTTACAAAGAGCATATCCAGGATGTGAGACAGAAATTCTTTCCGCTCAGGTTCTGCGCTATAACTTCTGATTAAACTAGGCAGAGGTGGCAGATATTCGCCTGTAGGTTTATTAGTTTTATCACTTGTTAATGAACCTTCATGTTCAGAATTAGACAGTGGCAACCACTTAACACAAACAGTCAATTCGTTTGTAGACAATTTAGTTTTGTGAATGATATTTTTAGTCTCAACGTCAACAAGACACAATAGCTTGGAAATCTCATAGCATACCGCAAGCAGCTTTCCATCTGGTCTCCATGCCAAATGAGCAGTGATATCAGATTCGTCTTGAGGACTCAACAACCATACTCTTTGCCATGTGAGTCTATGAAGGACGACTTCACCTATAAAATTTTATATTGTGGATAACAATTACAGTTTTTTTTTAATTCTCTCATTAATATTCGTTAAATATCTAACAAAGGAAACATCAAGAATTTTTTAATACCGTATTTTCTCATAGTAAACACTAAAAAAGTCAGGAATTTTGATGTTCTTTTTATAGATTGTTCTTGAACGAAAAAAATGATACGTATCCATTGCTGATAATAATAAATATTTCATAAATGAGTGTTTAATTATCTGTAATATTAATTTTGTAATTTTATTAAATTTAATTACAATCAAAAAGTAATTAAAATTAATAACATTGAATTAAAATAAAATTTATTTAAAGATACTGATATTTTCCTATACAATACGTTTTTCAAATTATTACAATAATTATTTAAAAAATTGATTTCTTTGAAAATATGAACTAATGGCTGAAACGGCCGGACATGTATTGTTTTTTTTTCGCTCAAGAACAGCCTGTAAAAAGTGCATCAAAATCTCCGACATCGTCACCTGGTGTTCCTTTTGTAAGTTAAAATTAAATTAAGTAATTTTTTTTTGTTTTTTTTTATGAACAATTATAAAAAGGAGGAAAATAAATATTAACATTAAGCAATATCTTTACAATATTAGCTTTTAAATCTAACCTTTGACATTGCTAATTGCTAAAAGATCCATCTTCGGTGACCACAACATCGTCGTCACCTCTGCAGGGAGCTGCCGCTCCTCCAATTGTCTCATGGTACCAGCCATATCTCGGACTTTTTTTAAATATAACAGATGACAAAAAATCCTCACCAAGCAAATGTTTAATCAAAGGAAGTCACTTCAATTACACGCGTACGAAATTTGTCTTTTCTTCTTCTTCTTCTGATATGATATGACATAGTGCTCGCTGATGAAATGACAGCGAATCCGACCAGACAAAATTTATATTTATTGCAACGTTCGGCGACATTCGCATAATTTAGAGAAAAAAATCGTTTGTGTACAAACATTATAACTTGAAATAACGAAGCGCCTTACCGGTCCGAGTGTTAAGATGTCGAACTACTATATAATATACAATCATTTAAATTGAATTAATTTTCAGAAATAAATTGCGAGCCGATTAGATTATCGGAGTCACACAATCACAATCTGAAACAAATAATCCCCCTCAAAATTTCCCAAATTTTAAAAAACTGTAATAAACTTATTGCGAAAAATATTGCCTCGGCCGGGAGTCGAACCCGGATCTCTTGCATTCCGTGCAAGCGTCCTAAGTCTTTAGACTACCAAGACCTTCAAGAGATCCAGGTACAGTTTTTTAAAATTTGGGAAATTTTGATAATCTCATCGGCTCGCAATTTATTTCTGAAAATTAATTCAATTTAAATGATTGTACATTATATAGTAGTTCGACATCTTAACACTCGGACCGGTAAGGCGCTTCGTTATTTCAATTTTAATATAAACGGTCTCGTTTCCAATCATATTGTTTACAAACATTATATCACACTGTGTTCAAGCAATTTAAGTTCAAAGTAGTACTAGCGTGACAATATCCGAATACCGGTCTAACAGTTCAGATGCCGTCTCTCAGTATTTGATAGCGATACTTCATAACCTCACTGTCTTCACTCCCGCCAGAGAGAAAATTTTCGATTGTGTTGTTTATAGAGTTTTAGATAACAGAGAGGCGATAAGTGCGGTCGATAATCGAAATTATCGATTATCGCCGCCATTTTTTTACCATGGATAGGCGAACTGTCAAAACGTCAAAGTTAGCTTTCTCTTGAAAACTAAAATCGATCTGATCTTAAAAAAGGAAAAAGGAAACAGTTTAGCACAAAATAATGTGTAAAGCATAACTTGAGCGCTCACTGCTGCTTACTGCCATATAATGGAATAAACAGGAAACGACAGAGAAAGAGAGAACAAGATTTAAAGATAAAAAAGAAAATGAAAGATAAAATATATATATTATTGTTTTTTAAATTTATTTCTGATTGTACTTTGGATCGCACCGATTGTAAGGAATAATAAATTTATTATTATTTGTAGTTACAATGTCAAGAAAATGTATGGCTTTATCATGTCCATCAGAAGAAAATATATTTCAATTATTTGAGTTACTGAAGAATCAAGTATTGAAAAAAAATGAAGTAATGAAATTTTACAAAGCATTAACAGCCATTATACAGGGAAAGACAGTCTTTGTGAAGTATGTATCTTGTTACATAACATAGTAAGCGCTAAACAAATTTTCATTTTTGAACAGTTAAATACATTAAGTACAAAGAGAATGTATTTTATATTATTGTCATATTTTTTAAATGAGATAATATTTAGTAGATGAAGCTTGTATTAATAATAGATTATTGAATAAAATTATAACAGAAAAAATCTCATAGAACTCAGTAAAGTACAATATGAAACTTCATTTATATATTAATTAGCATGGCAAGTGATATATTAATCTATGGCTGCGTTCAGCAGACTCAACAGTTTTGCAACCGTTTTATGATTCTTCGCTGAGATTGAATTATTCCTTTAAAACTAAAAGTATAAACTAAGCGCAATGAATCATAAAACGGTTGCAAAACTGCTGAGTTTGCTGAACGCAGCCTATTACAAGAAACTTAACTAATAACAATTTGTGCAAATGTTTCTTTCAAAATATATACATTTTTTATAAGTTTTAAATGTTTCTTTATTCTTATATACTTCTTGATATACATCTTTTCTTATGAAAGTATCCTAGAATTATCACAAATAAGAAATATAAAATTTTCCAAATATTGTATTACTGACCCATATAAATTTTCTTTCTATGTTTGTGGGAAAACTATGAAGCATGACACTTACATCATTGTTTTCGTCTACTTTTCTTATCTTTTGTTTTTTATTTTTATTTTTATTACTACATGTATGTACACACAGCACTTCATTTTGAGGAAGAAAAACAATGATAAAAAACTTGATAAGTATTCCTTTTACAAAGTTTATGTTTAATAAAAATTTAAATAAATAACAGTACTTACATCACAACATTATTAGTTATTTTTTCTTATGACTATATAACCTATTAACAAGTAAAATTATATTCTGAAATATCATCATATTATTATTGTCTATTATATTAAGCTACATCGACTTAACATTACAATGTTACCGTAGTATGAAAGAAAATGACGCTGAATCACGATTTAGCGAGTCAATCAAATCATTTTCTGACCTATTACCTCTCTGTTATCTAGAATGAACTCTAGTCATGAGGGGCACTGATCTCTTGATTGGTCAGATTTCGAGTCCTTTTAAACGCCGCCATTTGTGGAACTCTTAATGTGGTAGTAAATCTGTGAATTGGTGTGAGCAATTATTTCATGGTGTAAAAAGCGCAAACGCAAAATCGGACTATCAACTGTCAATCATGGTGGAATTGTGCTGTTTCTGGCCGGTATCCGGCAATGGCGTCCTTCCGTTTTTATGTCTTAACTCTGAAGGGTCCTCTATATAGAAGTTGTAGACGGTCGTGGAGTCTTAAGTCATAGGAAATTGACCAATTCTAATCGAGTATTCTCCTTATATTTGATTGTGATTAGTTAGTTTCCTACGACTTAAGACATCACGATCATCTACGATTTTTATAATATTGTTCGTTTTGTCTCTCGGGAGACCAATCGTAGTCGATTATTTTTGTCATATTCAATTGTAATTGGCCAATTTCTTACGGAAATTTGCAGAACGTACGACGCACGTCGGATTCAATGTGAATCCTACATTTCAAGTACGCTGAGTTCATTCGGAGCGATCCTTAGCACAGTATAAATACTGTATATAATATGCTCAGTTTGGCCAAACCACGCCTACTTTTGTTCCGCGTCATCTCTAAGGGTGAAATCACACGATCCGGAATAGGACTGCGGAATACAGAATGCGTCATTAAAACAACCAATCAATGCTATTCCGCACTTTTCCATCACGCCATGGAAAAGTGCGAAAAAGATCTTACTGAAATCGTACATAATGCATCATTGTTTTTTAAATCTTGGTATCTATATTTATGTACTCAGATTTTATCATTTTGCTTTATTCGTCTCGTCATTAAGCAATTCCATGATATCAATCAGCATCAAATTATTTTAATTTCTCAAAATATGATGATTTATTACAAGAACAATGACGCACTCTCTCTCTCTCTCGCTATTCCGCAGCATCAAATGCAGAATAGCACTGAGTGTTTCAATAACGCAGTCGTATTCCGCACTGTGTGATTTCACTCTAAGTGTGCAATCTACCAACCGCGAAACGTGAAACATGGGGCAGTATTCATAGTTCGTTTTTATTTTAAAACCATCTTAAGTACTCGTATAATGTCTTAAATATAATGTCTTAGGGTAAGATAATATAGTCCCTTGATTGACTTAAGACTTCTTAAGATTGACTTAAGACAGTCTTAAATGTAAGAATCGACTATGAATACTGACCTGTTTTTTCTTGCACGAGGAAAGATTCAGTACCAACTTTATGACGCGAAACAGATATTCATAGTCGATTCTTACATTTAAGACTGTCTTAGTCAATCTTAAGTCAATCCGAAGATTGTATTAACATCTTAAGACATTATATTTAAGATGATTTTAAAATAAAAACGGACTATAAATATTGCCTCATGTTTCGTGTTTCACAATTGTAGATCTTGCGGAACAAGAAGCAGAGAAACGACAGAGAGCGCTAATTTTAGAGAGACGCTTACAAACTGAGCACACCATGTAATTCTTCCACCATGGTACTGTAGGAATCTTCCTAGGATTTCGTTGGTGAAATTTTGGCTGGGAAATTCGTCCCACTGGATTGTCAGAAAATGAGCGGTTTAAATAAATTTCGGATAACTTGCAGAATACGAGACACTTTTATTGTCTTTGGAAATAACCTTGATCTCTTACAAACTGATATTCGATAGATCGTTACTTATTTTATTTGCCACATATTCTTTCTATATTCGCTAATTATAACTTATTTCGGTTTACAAATAAATTTAATGCTCCGAAATAGCCGTACTTTGGAAATATATAACGCATGGAGTGCTCCGGCTGTGCTGCAGATTAATATCGGAATTACTCCGCTTTATCACTTTTGTTCTGCTCCAATTTCCTAACTATTCCAGCTGATAAGTACCGAGAAGTATTCAACAAGTAGCAAAGGCAGAAAGATGATTCCGTCTCCGACATACGCCTATATAGATTGATATAGATGTCTCATCAGAACTGGCAGATAACAGCATCTGATAAGCTTAGGTGTCGCGGAAGTATCGCTCTGTAGCAACTTCTTTTATGCCAACTTTATTCTGCACTAGAAGAAATTCTCTAGTCGTTTAGGAAGTTTACAATACATACAGTATGGACATTAAACTTTTTATGTGATCTCCAATTTTTAATGCGCATGCGTCGGTTTCAACCAGGAATATGGCTGCCTTCAAGTTGAAATTGCAGATTAGATTAGATTAGCTGGATCTGCTTCCCATAAAATATAATTAATAAAATTAAATTTTACTAAAAAATTAAATCAAATTTTTTCGAAAACTATATTGTGTAGACTCTTATATTTGTATACGATAAAGTATTTTTGAAATAAAGTATTTGTGCGCGTGTGTATGTATATTATTAAATTACAACTGTAAGAGATATAGGGGATAAAGAACTGAATTTAACTGACTGCCGTATACAGAGAGAAAAGTATTATATGTATTTGTTATATCGTTGCCATAAAAAAATTCGCCTCTCCTCACTCGCACATGCCATCCTCATCTGCGGCTCCCTCTATCGGAAGCGCACGCAACACAGATAACACTGTCTAGCATCATCTAACCGCGCGCATTTAAGTTGATTTAAATGTGTTTGCCTCATACAACTTTACATTTAATTACATTTTTCATGCAATATATTATTTTTTCATACATTAATTTATTTTAATTATTTAATTACAATTTTCGTATAATATTTAATTAACTATTATTTTTAATTTACTTATTATTGTTTAATATTATTATTATTATTAATGTAAATATTATCTTTATAATAATAAGTTTGTTAACATTATATTATTATATAATTTTCTGATTTAAAAATATACTCGCTATAAACAATTTTTATAACACGACCAAATATTATGTTTTTTTTATTTAGAAAAATCATTCTGTAGTTTTATAAAAACTCAAATTTATAAGTGCTTTTCCAACCCACAACATGGCGGCGAGTCATGTGTCCTGGGACTAGGGACTTGGACCGGACCGAAACCCAAACCGATAACCGGATCGAAATGCTATGCATGCTAATGGACCGAAAATATTTTTTGGTTAGGTTTCAGTCCAGAAAAACATCATTCCTACGCAACACCTTCCGCATACTCCTTTACTCAATAAGATCGTCCAATACAAACAACCGTACTTTAACAGATAGAAGGATTCTTCCTATATAAAATAAATAACAATAAATAAAGGGTAAAATAAGAGTCAAACACATTTTTTAAATAGTTACACAATTAAAGGAATAAATTACAAATAAAGAAAAGTAAAATTGAAAAAAATATATAATAAAAAACTCAGTTAAAATTCAAATATA